GTGTGTGTCTGTGTGTGATGCTACTGGTCTTCAAATAACTGACAGTCATTCATTTGAAAGATGGGTTACATGTGTTCTGCACCTCCACCCCAGGGTCAAAATCGAGGGATTAAAAGAACAAAGGGAGAGATTTATGCTTGATATGAGACTTTTGTAATTCAACATGGAACAAGCTACCTCTAGTGATAATGAGTTCCCCATTACCAGCTGTGTTCAAGTATAACCAATTATTTCACAAGAATGTCCCAAATGCCAATGGGACACCAGTTGGAGTGACTTTTAAGGTTTCTTCTGTCCCTGAGACTCTTAAATAATGCTTATTTGCTTTCAGAGAAACACACCTCAATCTAACTGTCAGAAAGGTAAGGACCTACACCAAGTGAGAAATGAGGTTCTGCAGATCTACTTGAAAATTTTTGTACTTAAGGTAATTTTCCAAAAGACAACAAATTTCTCAAGAAGGTATCTATAATCATGATCCTTAGCTGTCATGGATATAATCTTGAGAGCATCCACGAGCCAAAACTTCAGGAGGTTTCTACCACATAAAGGCATATTAAAATCACAAGATGCATCTGTGAACACTCCCTCTGCCTGAAGATAAATGGACACAGAAATAAATCTAGTCCAATTCCATCATAACGGTGACTGGTAACACAGGTTAGCTGCAGTGTGTGGTATCCTGTATTCCTTAGGAAAACCATGATTACATTTCACCCAGATCCTCAAGCAGACTTAATGAAAATCATAGATGAAGAGGGCTAATGATAAGCAAATAAGAATAACCCCATTTGTACCAAATTGATTTTATTAAATAGTAATTTAAAGATATTAGGCTCAGCAAAGCATTACATAATTGAATCTATTTTTTCCCATATACATGCCAGAGTTATAATTTCCACTAACGAGAGACAAAGTTATATCCAGGACATTTTCACAGCTTCCTCTGGGGGAGGCAGGCAGCTAGTGGAAATTAAGGTTCTGGTCCTCGCTTCCCAAGCGTCAGTGTGAAGGCCTTGGCTGCAGCACAAACCACCCCGTGACAGCCTCACTTTGTTCAACTTGAAGAAGACATGGGATTATCAGCAACTTTGTAGGGAGGACTGGAGGAGATAAGAGTGTGTGTAAACCAGAAAGCACAAACTAGATACAGATTAGCATCATCCTCATATTTACTTGTGAAATGCCTTGCAAACTTCAGAGGCAAGAAAATCAAAAGCAAAAAATGAAACCACTGTCTAACCTTGCGAAGAAAGTTGATATCACTTCTGAAAGCCATGAGAAAAAGAGTTTAAAGTTATCATCTTATCTCCCTTTAATATGATGAATGCTAACAGACTTCACTTAAAAAAGAAAAGCCATAAACACAAGATTTCAAGCTCTTTCTTGTATATTGCCCATTGGATAGTACACACTATTATTTGGACCTCATCTCTGGACCTGGCACACAGGAAAAAACACATTCTGCCATGCCACATATGATACCAATGGATAAAAGAGTTCTGACTATAAATCTCTCCATCCACGAGCTGAAAGGCCAGGGCAGAAATGAGGGATCTTCAGTGGAGTGACTAGATAGAGGAAGAGTCGTCATTATTCATTCCTCAAAGGGCCAGTGTGTGGACTCTGAAACAGTACCCAATGTCAATTCACACCCAACTTGCCACTGGTACATATATCCCCACCGCATTTTTTTTAAAGTAAAGAAGACTAGTATAGATGCTGACTCCATGTGTCTACTTACGTTTTTCAAATTACTACATATTAAACATATACATTAAGGTAGCCTTGATTGCTTATTAATAAACACTGTCAATAACCATGAAGTATGCAGAATATATTTCTATTACAAAGTCTTCCTAGATTTGTATACAGATCCCATACAAGGAACTTTATTGAGTACTAAAACAATGCAAGATCTTTTTCAGAAAACTAAATTCCATCTGTGAATTCCTTCACAGATCTATCTATTCATCCATCAACTTTTTTCCCCAGTAAATGTCATTTGTAGATATTTTCTTAGGAACCCCTGAGCAAATTACAAAGCGGCTGGGGACTACAGCAGGTGCTATGCAATTATCTATTTGCTGATCTCATCCATTTTTATTGTGATTCACTAGGCTGGGAGGGAAAGATGGGAGAAACAGGAGTCTAGAGAACTATTAATATATTTACAAGAGTATCTACTAGGTATTTAAAAATCAAGATTTAAATCACATTGTATGCATTTGTTTTTCAAAGGACAATTTCAGTTTAGAGATTTTATACCTGTCTAGCATTAAAGAAATGACAGTATGAGGGTCTCAATTCAAGTGGGCAGCAAGGTGCTCTACTGAAGCACCTGCCCGCTTCTTAGCACCTCAGGGGATATGACTGAAATACGTGCAATCATGAGGTCGCTGTGAGAACCAGACTTTAAAAGATCTTGTGCTTCATAGAGGGTTCAGGCTCACCCTCCATCATGCACGGCACATTCAGACCTCTCTGTCTTGAAAAGAACCGATCCTCCCTTCCTGGCCCAGCACTGACTCCTCTCGGCAGTAGGAGTCATTTGGGTTTTCTCCTAGGACCCAGCCATCAGCCTCTTTCAACTCCACTTTTCACGTCTCCCTAATATGGGACAAACATCCCAGCGAAGGGAGACTCAGAGAAAGCTCTTAGAAGGGGCGCTTAAAATGAGACTAGGGATGAATTCAAACTGCACATGGAAAAAGGAAGGCCAAGTTCTTCAAAATCACAAAGCTCTATGTATGAGGGCTGGACATAAAACTCGTCACCAAATGGGATATTTTCAAAGTAGTTGGGGGCCTCACAAGTGGACGTGAGTTAGGCCCCTCCTCGCTCCGCTCTCAGACTCCATTCCCAGGAACACAGGGTGAGCCCCACACGCGGCAGAGGGTTGTGGCCTGTGAACAGCATGAAGCCCTGCACTGCCATGTGGTCTCCTAGCCAGTGACACTTGGCCAAGGCTCCCCTCACTCGAAATGCTGCATTGCCTCTGTCCAAAGCAGTCCAAATGGTAGTGGAACTTTGTCCTTAATTAAACAAAAACAGAACTGAAGGATGAGGCTAGAATTGCTCAAATGAAGATTTATTACTTCTAAGCATGAAACCACTTTAAGCCTAAACTCATTAGACAACTAACCCAGAGGAAGGATTTTCTTCTTGGGAGAGTTCAAAAGGTCTGATAGACTGATGTTTAAACAACATCAGCCAACGAAGAGAATACTTCTTTTATGGACACTTGTACTCTCTTCTCCACATACTGAAAACCTACGGAAAAGTGTTTCTGCTTTACACAGAAAATCTAATTATACAGACTCTCTTATACATGGAACCAATTTAAATCGTAAAACTGAGAGGCAGTAGGGAAGTATTTAATACGATTCTGGGACAGGTTTTTTTTCCTCTTAAATCTGATATGGAAACATTTACAGCATGGCTCGTTTTCCCACAAACTGTTTTCTTCAGTTAAAATCGGCACCAAAGCAAGATAATCCCTTCAAGACGCAGGATGTGAGATACTGGGAATGAAATATTCCAATTGTCCAGATTCATTCTCCTATCCCCCCACCCCCAGCTGAGCTCAGAGAAAAACTGCATCACCAGAACTTCTGAGCTACTTTTCTCAAAACTCAGTAGCATGGAGCTATTATTTTATGGCAGTCAGAGGTCACCCCAAGACAAATGTGTGGCAGACAGCTTTTGGGGAGGGGGAACGTGCGAGACTCATGATTCCATTAGTAAGGGACAGTGTGTACTACAACTCCAACTTGTACTAGAAACTACAAAAACAAAAGCCTATGTACTAGGAAACATCCAAGTTAGATTATTAAAACATACCTTCCTTCGTGTCACTCTTCATTGGGGGGAAGGCAGTCTAAAATGTTCCTGACTCATTCTTCCTCCCAACCAACACAAATGACACTAAATAAAATGGGTAAGGACTCGCATGGACACCTCCCCAGGAGCAAAATGTATTTCATAATTTAGGGGGAAATGGAAGAAAAAAACTATTTGAAGTCATTTTATGCGTACAGGCTTAATAAAGCACAGGAGTTGCATGAAAGTTTTTAGGGGGAGGAAGGGAGATTTCTTTTACGTAAGAAGTCGGTAAGAAATCTTAACATTTTTTTTTTCTTCCCAAATGATTTTACGTGCTTCAGAGCATGGATCTCTCTTTTGCCATTAGCTGCGTATTCTAAAATGATCAAGTCTCGTTTGCTGTAAGCCACAGGGGGAAAAGGCAAAAGGAGCCTTGGTGGACACATCGTATAAGAAAATTGCGTCTCAAGCAGCTCATCTTAGCGCCCGGTACGTTTCAGCCTGTTAATAATTAATAAAAGAGATGCCATCCAATCTCTAGTGAAGAAAGGCAAAGCTCGGTGATCCGAATGTAAACCCGGTGCAGATAGCGAACTGGTGGCCTTCATCCCGGATTGCAACAAAACTCCGACCGGGCAAACGCTCACCGCGCCTGGCGTCCCGGCCCGGATCCCGGATCCCCCGGCGGCGGCCAGGCCTGGAGCGGCTCGGGCTGCTTCTCCGGCGCGGGGCCTGACCACTCCCGCAGCCTCCAAACTTTGCTTTCGCCTCGGAAACTTCCCGGCGGCCCGGCTCTCTCTGCGCATCTGGCAGCGCGGGAGCGACGTCCCTGCGGCCCGGCCGGCCGGGGGCCCGCGAGCACCGGTCGCTGCCCACAGCCGCGCGTCCGGGCGGGCAGAAGGCCGGGAGCGAGACGGCCCCGGGGAGACGGGGCGGCCGCCTCCCGCGCAGGCCGGGCCGGAGCCCTGCCCTCCCTCCCTCTGCGGGCCACGGCGACGCCAGCCGGGCGAACTTTCCAGGGAGCCCGGGCGGGCAGCAGCGGGAGCGGGGGTGCGGCGCAGGCCCAGCCCGGCGACCGTGTGCTGCGCTGCGCTGCGCTGGACTCGGCTCGGCGCCCCCTCCTCCTCGCGCCCCCGCCCGGCCCGGCCCGGCCCGGCCCGCGGGCGCTCGCTCACCTTTCATCGCTGCGATCACAAAATACATCATTCAAGCCGCGGTGCGGAGAGCGCAGGACAGCGGATGGTCCGACCCCGGAGCCCTTCGGCCGCCGCCGCGCCCCAGCCGCCGCCGCCGCAGCTGCCCGCCCGCCGAGAGCCATCCCGAGCCATAAGAGGCTCCATGTGACCGGCTGACATCACGGCCGCCGTTCTGTTTACACCGCGCCCCTCCGCTTCCTCCCGGGCGGGCGGGGGCGGAGGCTGAGGCAGGCGCGTCCCTCGCCCCGCTCCGCCCCCGTGGGCAGGTGAGCAGAGCGCAGCGGGAGTTGGCCCACCCCGCTCCCCGGCCCAGCCCCGGCCCGCTCCACGCCCTCCCGGTCACCAGCAGCCGCATGGGCCCCTCGGAACGAGGGTCTTCGCTGTCCCCCGGCTACGCGGGCCGGACGCGCGCACCCGACCCACCCCACGCTCCCCTCTCCGGGGCCCGCGCCCGTCGGCTGGCGGAGAGGGGCTTTGGTGGCAGGCGGGAGCGTGCAGTCTCCCTCAGTTTCCTGGGTGTCCACGTCTCCTGCAGCGGCGCAGCTCCCACCAGCGGGTGGAGAAGGGAGCCCCGGGGGCCCGGTCTCGGAGAGGAGGAAGCTCCCTGGGTCCCTCGGGGAGACCCTGCCGGGGCCCAGGGACTCCACCCTCAAGGCCGCTACAGCCCCGGCTGGGCAGCCTCTAAAGTCCCAGTTTTATCCGTCTCCGGCCCGCGTCCAGGACCACCCGTACCTGCAAAGAGCGAACACTGAACGAAGATTTCCTAAAGGAACTCCAGCTGCCAGCCAGCTAGAGCCACTATAGTCGGCTTGTCACATCCAGCGTTCTCTCCAGAGATCCCATCTACAAGTGGAAAAGGCTGTATTTTTCATACCCTAAAGATGAGACATTGCCTTGTGGACAGAAAAAAAGAAAAAGTCTCTAAAGGTCAACTTTGCGAATTGTAACTTTTAACCAAGACTTAACAGTCTCCAAACTTTGAAGCTTAATTCTTTTTTCTGGACTTATGGGAACGTAAATCACATCGTTATATTACAGATGGAATCTCTTTATGATGAATTTCAGATGCCACTTAGCCAGAGTCTGCATTATTTAAAACTTTGGCAAGTGGTTCTTCAGTATTGAGCATAACAGAAAAAGAAAATGTTCAAAAGCTAAGTTTGCTACCTACTGCTGTTCTTTCGTGATTTTTAAATTGTTCTTTTCTGTTGGTCTATTTTTCCATTTACAATTTAAAATATTAAATGGCTAATCATTGTTGCATTCATGATTAAATAACAATTCCAGCATTTCTTTTTCCATACAACTGAGTCGCCCTTGTCCCTAAGTAGGGCCGTAATTTAAAACACATGCAGACAATCAGCATGGCGGAAAACAAAGATTCATACCCTCCCTGCCCTCCAACCCCCCTTTCAAGGCAAAATTAAGTTTTCCAAGCATTTACAGAGTTCTCTGATTTATAAGGTCAGAAAAGTTCACTGTCTTTCAGTCAAGCTGTGGCTTTAAAAAAAAAAAAAGTTTGATTTCAGATACATTCATCCTAATAAAATCTTTTTCTTTAGAAATTTCTCCAAATAAAACCACAAAAAAAAGAAACAAAGAAAAGAAATTTTAAGTGTGAAGCCAAGACCTACCCATGTTAACTCAGCTGTCCAGCCATAGCGAAGTGGACAAGAGTTTCAAGTGAATCAGCCATACCTACTGTAATGTTTACAGTTGTGAAATTAAATCACGCCACGTTCTCATGATGCAACTATGTCTCCCACTAAGGCAACGCCCCTCAGTTACAGGACACCCTCATGTAGGTTTGGTTCTTGATTTCCCTTGTGCTAACAACTAGGAGGAGGAAGGATAACACCACCCTAGCCTGTTAGTAGGTCCTTGGTATGATGTTCTTTCCTTTAAATAGTCAAAGGATGAAGAAATGTCCCAGATCCCATGTCATATTCTTCATATGACAATGAAGCTGGATACACACCTCTGAGCATGCACAATGTTACTTTAAAACAGTATCCTGCTGTAGAAAATAATGCCTTGAAAATAACCAAATCCATTCCCTCCAGCCTGCCTGTCAGACATGAGTCCAAGGTAAATAGTCTTACATCACTGGCAATTCATATTTATTTCCAGACCATTTCAAATGAAATTGGTAATGAGGAAAGTCATGTATCGTGACAAATGCTCCTGCAATTACAAGTGGTAGAATCATTCTTCCTATAGAAATGTCCCCAATAGAAATATAATCTCATAATACTTATTTGAAATATTTGCACTTTTATTCAACAAAGACATTTCCAGGATAATGTAATATTGACCTTGCTCTTTAGAAACGTATTTCATTCGCATCCTACAACTAACAAGCAACAGAATTTCAGATATGAAGTCCTAACCTTCCTGTGTGGCTAGATGCTATTTGTAATACATGCCTCTATTATATGTCTTCAGCTTTTAACCCAGGGTATATTATTGTTCTTTCTATTAACACAAAGCTCTCGTGAAACTTTGAAAGTAAAAATGAGAGGCTGTATTTTTAAAAAACCACTTGAAATACAAATTTGCTATGGAATTATAAGTCTCCTGCCAACCAAGTAAGCCAAGAATGAAAAGATCCACATTTGCCTTCACTAATACCAAACTGGAGTCATAAATGATACATTTCAATACAGATTTTGTAACCCACCATATATTAAAAAACAATACCACAGAAATAGAATACAACATTGAAATACAATACGTATGTAGGAATAACTGCTTGTATTTTATTAAACAGACCCCTCTGAAGTGCCTACTATGGGGGGAAATTAGGGCTAAGCAACATCTTTTTCTTTGTACCAAGCATTCTGAAAAGAATATTGCTTACATGAAGATAATTAAACACAACAAAAACTCTATTACAAACGATGTATGTTATATAATAATCCCAACTCAAATGTTTCTGTTGGGTAATCTCTGAAAAAGAAAGCATGGAACGTACTTATAAACACATGCGATCCATCTTGGAGTCCCCAAGAGATGGCTGCAGCCCCACATGGTGTCCCTGTATGCTGGTTTCACATTGGAACTGCCATTTAGTGGGAAGTAGAAAGATACTTCTACACCAGATTGCTCCAGAACACTCACAAGAAACGCCTGGCACATGTCTGCAGGTGTTTAGATTTAAGTAATGTCAACAAATGGTGCCAATCTTGAGAGGTTAAATAAAGAAATGACACTTTCTGAGAGTGTACTTAGGTTGTCACTACACAGGGCCTGATCTTAAGGTCTACCACCACAAATCCCACATACAGTGCTGTTGGGGAGAATGTCCAACCAGTGGAGGGACAAACTTATCCCACGTGTGCAAGTGGCTCGTAGGAGGAAGATGATTTCAAAGATCTCTGGTGCATGTGAGAGAGTATTTTGGTTCCCTTCACCATGGCCCTCTCTCTCCTGGGTGTGTGGCAGTTTGCTAAGTGAATTAATTTCTTTTTAACTGAACAAGAAAAGGATCAGTGAAAGGTTATTGTGAGTCTACGGAGCTTGGTTCAGCTGAGTCCTTACCACCCCCACTCGGTGATCTTTATAAGATCATTCTGGCCGAAATAGAGCCAGGGTACCAGGCTACTTATGAATCCAACAAGGTCAGACCTGGTGAGTTCATCCTAAACAAGACCACTTGGAGAGCTAAGAGAAGATACAAACTTCCTACAAAGATCGCAGGAGCCAGTGTCTCAGGAGAATATTTATGAATGGAATAATACTGGTAAGACACAGAAATCAAAGGCGAGAGAGGAGAGGAGAGGAGAGGAGAGGGAGAGAGACCCCTTATTTATGAGTGTTGAGGGGGAGGGAAATGAGGCTATTGGTATGGTTGGTCAATCTTATTCATGATTTTGAAACAAATATGAAGTTAAATATCCAGGGCCCATGGAATAAAGTGAAATCAACTGTAGTTTGGTGGCAAGATACATGTTCAGTTTTACACACACCTGTGCATGCTCACACACATATTTCTCATAATCAGCCACACTTACTGAGTACCTATTGTGTGCCTGGCACTGTGCTGGGAAATGGAGCTGGAAGAAGACAGCAGCCCTGGACTGAAGCATCTCCCTCCTCAGCTGACCTCTGCTCTGAAACCCTACCCGGGTCAGTTCCCAGAGAGAGCACGCTCGCTCCTGAAGGAGCACAGAACCTGGCTGTCTATTGAAAAGGTGTCGCCATAGCATTTGCCCCCCATGGTTGATAGACAGCTGCAAATCCTTAGTGTGGCTATGGGTGGAATTGAATGTTGGAGATAAAAGGTTTGGCTGGATGGAGACAGTGGCCCAGGGACTCTGGGATTTCTGACACCTAGTATTACACGCACCTATTAGGAAACTCAGAGGACTGGCACATGCTTTATAACCATCACAAGGAGGAAAAGGGTAAAGTTCACAAGGCATACAGAGGTAGGCACCTGCCTCAGGACAGGTGGGCAGCCGGTGCCTGTCTACACAGACACCTGGCAAGGGAACATGCAAACAGATACAGGCCTGGGGCAGGAGGGGCCTCCATCCCTCTGTGCTCCAGGGTTGTCCTCACCCCATGCCTAGGGCTGGCAGGGAAACAGGCTATTCAGGAAATGATTGGTTTTCAATTAAGGGATTACAGGAAATACAAATGTAATCAGAACCTGAAATCCTGGGCTCCAGTTTCACACTTGTCACTGGCAGCTTTCCGCATCACCATGGGCAAATCATCTGGCCTCTCAGGACATCAGGCCCCTCACTCCCAGGATCGCCTCCCATCTGCTTTGAGGGCTCACCCCCATCCTTTCTCTGTGCTGTGCCAAGTCTAGTCACTTCTCTGAGGAGCTGTCTCTGTTTCACTGAACATCATGGTACAAGAGACAAAGTCGGGAGCAAAACCAGTCTCCATGCCACTCAATAGCTGAGTGACCTTAGGCAGATCTACCTCAGCACAGGTGTCAGAACAGCAGAGTCTTGCAGGGCTACTGGGAGGATTAAATCAAACAATATTTTAAAAGGACGGGTGGTTATCTCTTCGTAGGGATTATAAGCAGGGCTGTTAGCGCCATCCCCACCGGCCCTGACGGTGATACACTGAGAGCCCATGCCTGGTATCAATACCGAGCCTTCATAAAAAATGGGTCGAGGTCACTTTCAGATGCACTTTTGCTAAACTTTGTACAATTTGGGAACTCTATGTGTGTAAAGCAAGTCGTCTTTATTAAGCACTTGCTAAGTACTGAGGATAAAAGATGAATAAAATTAAATTACCCATAGGCCTAAGAGGCCTTGTGGGCTTTCGAGGTCTCTTTTCCTGTAAGAGAGAAAGCTGCCATCCAATGAGCAGTGGCTAACCACCTTCTGTGCACATCTCACCAGGCTGGGACATGCAGAGGGGAGGGAAAGATCAAGACAGCAGTCTGTCCTTCAAGGGGCCTGCGATAATCTAGC